TTCCTCTGGCCAGTAGCCCCACTTTCGCCGGCCAATGATCCTTTATCCACCAAATAACCGTGCTGGCCAAGAGAGCTTGCAGTCTCCTCTCCTCACTGACAGGACTAGTACACTGTTGTTGCTCGCTGATGGAGGGCAGTGCAGTACCTGGCAATGTCTGGGTTATTGGTTCAAATAACTCTTCAACAGTGCATACCTTTCCCTTATACATCTCCTAGGAAAGTCTCTCCTTGAGACAGTGATAAGCAGCAGACTGCTTTACGTTCCACCTCTACCGTGAAATCCCAGCTCTGCCCCAGTCGTATCCCTCTGTGAATCTAGGTGGCTCCAGCAGAGTGAAAAATGCTTGGAATTTGCAATCCCAGGACTTTGGGCCTCAAGTTGTTTAGCTTTTTTTTTTTTTTCTTGGCCTGGTATTTACAGTTCTGTGTCTTTAGTCGGGGCTGGCCTTCAGGAGTGTAACATGGACCCAGCTTCATGATAAGGTACCAGCCTGTTGAATTAGCAGTTGAAGAGCAAATCAAATGCTCCATATATCTTGGTTATTCCGCTCAAAATAGCTCTTTAACACGCCTCTGGTGTTAAATGCGGATGTGGAGGATGAAACCCTGGATCTCAGAGCTATTGTTTTAGCTAAGAGAAATTCAATAGTATTCATTTTCTCAATCCACACCAGTAGCTATGGATCGCCTTCCTACCTTACACTGTCATTAACGCTAAGCTGTGTGGTAATTAGAGTCCCCCTCCATCATTACTCTTTGTCCTCCTTGCTTGTTTACTTTAGTATGATTTATGATCCAAGGTCCAGGCTGAGTATGAGCATGTCAGAGTGGACCATTAATTGACCAAATGGATCAGTGCCCTAGTTGGATGTGTGGAGCCGAATGTAGGCTACATCATTGTGGGCTCCAAACTGTGTTTTAAGTTTAAGTTTAAGCCACACAGGCTTATATTAGTGGCAAGATGAAGGAAGACAAGGACAAAGGATGGTGTATTGAATTATGAAAGTGCTAAAGTGAGAGTCATTTGCAGCTTATGTGGCTCTGCTGCTGGCTGTCAGTGCAGCGGCCTACGTATTGTAGCAGCTTGTGTAAGTGCAAAAATGTCCTGCAGCCCTGAAGCGCCTGAACATTGTCCTGTCGAGTTGAGTTAGGAGAATCCAACCTGCTGCGCTGCGCCCGTTTACAGCATCCTGCTGTGCTGTTGTATCTGTACCGATGAAATGATGCTTCCACGTCAAAACCAGCGGATGTGATAGAAAAGTGAGGTAAGCAGGCCCTATTTAAGTCCAGCAAATCACATCAGGATAGGAAGCAGGACGGCAGAGCAGAGTCTAACTCAGTGTAACAGAACACATCTGTGACTGCATCAGTGGCTGGTCACCAAAACTCAAACATGAATGCATTGAAAGAGCAGTCGTTCACACTTACAATACGCACATTGTGATATTGTATTATATTAAATTAGTCACAGACAGTTATTTTCATTAACGATGAATCTGCTGATTATTTTCTAGATAATCCTATTAATGGTTTTATCTATAAAAATGTCAGAAAATTGTGTCCAAATTTCCCAAAGTGAAATCTTATAAAATTATTTGTTTTATTCTACAACAGTTCAAAATCAAAAGATATTCAGTTAATTGTGATACATAACAAAGAAAAGCATCATATCCTTAGATCTAAAAAACAGGTTTAATAGTTTTGCTTGAAAAACGACTAATATGATTCTTGAATTTTTTTATTTTTATTATTGCTCTAAACTATTGTTCAGCTCTAAACTGACATATCAGACGTTTTGTCACCTTTTAAGTTACATGGTAAAAGTGTTGTGTCCAATATTCTCTCTCCTTTTAACTCTGTTTTTCTCTCCACCACCTCCTGATGAAAATATCAGGCTCTTTAGCATCTAAATGCTTCACTATTTTTACCAGCTAGTCACTAACTTTACTCTGCTAGGCAGGTTGCATATAAAGGATATTTAGAGCTTTTTTAGAAGGTTTGAGGGCTTTCTTAGAGGGTTCATTGAAAACGGCTGCCAGCTGCTGCTGAAAACAATACAGATGAGAGCGTTGGGAGTGAACCCGAACATTAAAGTTGTGACCCGGAAACCCAAAACAATGAGCTGAAAGACACAATAAAACTCTGTAGAGCTGAGGGGAACTGCAGAGTTGGGTGATAACTATCTGTGGGTTTATCACTACGACCGACCCCTATACACACCGGTAATATAAAATATTTAGTAGAGCAGCTTTAAGGTTTTCATGTATACCTCCTAACCTATAGGCTACCTAACCTATACCTACCTCTCTAAGAAAGTGGAAGTGTCAACACTTCCATGATTTTTTTGCTGCATTCCTCAGCTTTAATTGTGTTTGTGTAATCTCCTCATGAACCTGAAACCCTCAGCTGCTGATGCAACGTGTCAGTGGCTCAGCAATGCATCCACCCAGCCTATGACTCACCAAATACCGTCAACGCTGTATCATCAGTGTACTTCCATTGTCTTTGTTGTATAAATGCTGTTTACGTGGTTGTTCCTATCAGCTGTTTAGGGAAGAGAACTTAAAGGAGTCTGTGTGTGTGAGGATATATTACTGAGATAGCTTGTGGGTCACTGGAGACAGTAGGTTGTTGTTAAAGTGTGATTTTAGTCGGGAATGTTCTACTAAGAAGGAGCACGGGGGGGGTTTCTTCCGGTGAGTCAGTTGCCCCACCCTGAACCATAGCTTGCCAAAGGCCTGTGTTACTGGAACTGCATTGCACAGACCTTACTGCTCATCCCTCTTTCTTCATTCCTAATAAAAGGTACACATATCACTGTGGCTTCTCTTCTTCACACTGGTTCTCTCCAACACCCACCCTCCCTTCCTTTTAGCAGGATGCTGGACTGTGTCTGTGTCCTTATCCCCCACCACTATCTTTATTGAGGTTTCTTTCCCCTCTCCTCCCACAGATAGTTTTGGCAGTCTTGAGGAGATGGAGCATATGGCTCCAATCCTCCCTCAGGTCTTCTCTGTGGCTCCTCTCAAGACGCCTTTATCTCGCATGTCTCCATAAGCCCACAAAAACCAACACAACATTGAGTTGACAAGGATATTTTGGGATATTTATATGTATCTTGATTCTAGCTAATGTATCCAAAATCATATATATACATATTCATATTTCATTCATATATATATATATAT